AGGTCGAACAAGTTCAGCAGGCTATCAAAGTGAGGGAGTCACTGCTTTGGATCGACGGAGTCTAGACCGCTAACATCCCGGTAGCCTGGTATCAGTCCCAGAGAATTTGGCTTATCAGCTGAGGCTGAGTTACGGATGACAGAAACTCAGTCGTCCGATTGAAGAATGATTAAATACAGACGGCGCTCAGTCAGCTGAACGATGGCTATTTATGTCACAGGTGTCTGAGAGAAGTTGGAAAGCAATAGACCGACCAGACGAGACAGGATTAGTCGGCGAAACGAGATTGAGTCTAACAGCTAATTTTGGAGGGCAAATGGAGTGGGTCGAGAGATGGAGGTGCCTATATAAATAGAGGGTGAACAAGTCCAGCAGGCTGTCAACGTAAGTGCGACATAGCTTTGAGTCTTCAGAGTCGAGACCGTTTAAATGTTGCTGGTCTGGAAAGGGACAAAGAAGCAGACCGGTCAGAAGAGACTAGGTTATTGCAGGGCTCTGAGAGATGGTCTTCCGATTGGAGTAAGTTTGAGTGTACAGGATACTTGATGGAAGCGTGAACAAGTCTAGCGTGCTGTTTATGTATGCGAGACATAGATTTGAGTCTACAGGGCCTAGTCGTTCTCTTACAGTTTCGCTCCCTGGAGTCAGGTGACAGATACTTAGACTTGTTAATGAACACAACTATCGTTTATTGAGGTTGCGTAAATGTAAGAAGCAGAAACCGCGGAACAAGAGCTCATCTTAGAACAGTCCATGGCTTTTGTCCGAGAGCGCGATATTACCCAGTCACCAAAACCGAAGTATGAAGTTGAATTAGGCGAACTTAGCTTGAGCAGTTGGCTAAATAGCCCATTAGCATGCAGCGGGACGAACTCAGTAAATTGCGCGCAATGAGAGCGGGTGACTGATTGCACAATCGTATGATTTCTTTTCGTCGGTTCCTAAACAAGGGCGCCATTCTGGCAATATCCCAGTAAGTGGGTGCTGCAATCTGAGGCTTCACCAGCATGCATCAAGGAGCGGTGACTTTACTTAGTGGCGAGTCCCGTCTACTACTTCTGTGTGCTATTAGGCAGTCATATGTGGCTTATTATAGCGTTAATTATTTTCAGGCGAAAACTCGCCACGTCCTGGAACCCACTCGCTGAAACGTTCGCTGGAACAGGATGATCTGTAAACACACAGCTGGCAGTAATTGGAGGTTATATAGCAAGCTACCCACATATGTGATTAACGAAACTAGAGCTGATGGTTCTGGGCGTCAGCTCGATGCTCTTAGGTGTTTGCACCAGTACTCTTACTTTCAAGTAGATTACTATTTTGCGTTATTAATGTCCTTTTTGTTCTTCCCATATCTTTGTGTTATACCCATTCAAGTGTGTGCCAATTATTGACTTTTGAGTTTACAATTGCATTATTATCGGTTTACGTAACTAGCCCGGCAGTGACAGTTACTGCCGGACACCTAGGCAGTAAATGTTTGGCCTGTGGGGCAGTTTTGTTATAGTCTCATATACGGTTCAATCGTTCTATGAACTAGTGTTACATCGACACGTTAAAGAAGAAACGCCCACATGCTTTTCCCATCGTTCCTGTGCTAGTTGCACTTCCACTGGAATGATATGGTTTCGTAACACATCGGTCACCAATATATTTTGCCTTGGAGAAGATGGGATTTCCTGCAACTAATCGAATGAAGTACATAATATTAACAGTATGTCGCCGACTCGCAACAGGTGCGGTACTTTAACTTTGCTTTACTACCTTGTGGTAAGGTATTTCGCGCAAGACTGGGTAGTGTATACTTGATTAGCTCCCTAATTGCGTAACCGAACAGTACAGCGGCGTTTGACAAAAGCATGAACATTGCAGTGACCTGGAGTTTCCCCTGTTTGCCTGCCGCATGCTGCGTCAAATATTACGAAATAACAAAATTATCTTTTCTCGATGTACATAGCAAAATAGCCACTCGCCTGTTTGAACGTTGCTCGCATTTGTTTGGGTCAACATAGCATCCGCCTCCGAAAAGCGCGACGCTCATCGGCTCCGCGGCCATCTTTGCACTTTGCGCCCGCGACCACACATTTCCCCTTGCTAGCTATCTTCCGGTGCCTTATTTTTAAAAAATTGGTAGTGTTTCGCAAACCGTGATAAATTTTTCCTAGCGTTAATTTTGGTGTTCTACACTCCTCGGAGGTTGGTCGGATATTCGCGCAATGGTTCTAAAGCGCACCGATCATGCTTCTCGATTTATTGGTGACCCCCGACTTTTGGTCATTATCCGGTGAGTTTTCGCTAACCTTTCTTTTCAGACTTGGCCACTTCCTTTTTGCTAACCCGTCTGATTTTCCATTTTCATTTTCCGGATTAATCTCGCTGGCTCGCTGCATTGCTTGCTATGGAAACTGATCACGTAGATTCTGACGTTCAGCTCGGCGCAGTTATGCTACCTATCGCACCTTTTCGCGAGACAAATCCTAAGTCTATTTTTGGGCAGCTAGAGTCGCAATTTTCTTTGCGTCTTGCCGTCCCGTTGCCTTCCGCAACCGACGCCGAGACACATCATATTGTTAAGAAAGGTCCGCCTGTGTTCGCAAAAGCCGGGCGCATGACCCCCGACAAGCTCAAAATTGCGCGCTCCGAATTTGAGAGAATGCTAGACTTAGGCATTATTCGCCCGTCTAAGAGCCCGTGGGCGTCGCCTCTACACATGGTGCCTAAAAAGTCAGGAGACTGGCGTCCATGTGGCGACTATCGCCCTCTCAATAACGCTACCGTCCCCGACCGCTATCCGATTCCGCACATTCAGGTCATCACGGCTAGCCTACCTGGCGCCCGTGTGTTCTCGAAGATCGATCTGGTTCGCGCTTACCACCAGATCCCTGTAGCCGAGGATGACAATCCGAAATCCGCAGTCATCACGCCTTTCGGACATTTCGAATTCTTGCGAATGCTCTTCGGTCTTCGCAACGCAGCTCAAACTTTTCAACGCTTCATAGACTCTGTCACGAGAGGTCACGACTTTGTTTATCCTTATATAGACGACATCTTATTAGCTAGTTCTTCCGAAGAACAACACGCGGAGCACCTCAAGATGCTTTTCGAGAGGTTAGCCTCTAATAGCACTACTGTCAACGCTGACAAATGCATCTTTCAGCAACCATCTATCGAATTTCTTGGTCACCGAATTGACCAGCATGGCATACGGCCACTCGAAGACCGAGTCAGCGCTATCAAGGACTTTCCCGTTCCGACTACTTTGGCCGCCATCCGCCGTTTTATTGGGATGGTCAACTACTACCGTCGATTTCTGCCACGTTGTGCCGACTTGCTAAGTCCATTGACCGACTTACTTCGTGGACGCAACAACGGCAAAGTCGAGTTGACGCCCGTTGCAACCGAAGCCTTTAAGGCCTGCAAAGAAGCCTTGGCTGAATCCGTTATGCTTCACCATTTCGACCCCAAAGCTCCACTCAGCGTTGCAGTCGATGCACCGGACACCGCCATTGGCGCCGCCTTGCAGCAATTCACTGAAGGATGCTGGAAACCACTCGCTTTCTACTCCCGACTCTTACCACCGGTAGAAGTCAAGTACAGCACGTTCAGCCGCGAACTGCTGGCAGTTTATTCTACCGTCCGACATTTCAGGCACGTCTTAGAAGGTAATTCCTTCGTTATCTTCACCGATCATAAGCCGCTTATTTACTCCTTTCGAAATCAATCAGCTCGACACTCACCACGTGAGGTTCGTCAGCTGGATTTCGTGGCTCAATTTTCTACTGACCTCCGACACATTTCAGGTCAGAATAACGTCGCTGCTGACGCTCTTTCGCGCGTCTCCGCAATCCACACCCTGGCCAGGCAATCGAAATATCTGCCATGGCTACCGTGCAACTAACCAACTCTGACTGTCAGAAACGTCAAACACCACTGTCCCAATCAACCTCTTTTGCGTTCATCGTAAAGCAAGACCAGAGGAACGCACGTTGTTTAGCTGCGAGAACTAAACGTAAGCCGCAATTAATGCGCCATGCGTCGACCGCAAGGCATGACGATGTGCAAGCACGTCGTACGGCTGTGATCAGTGAAGGTTAGCAAACACTACAACCGCAATCGACCTGTCACGCATGGATCGCGGCACAAGACAAATGAACGCCAGCCGTACGGCTGTGATAACTGGACCTGAGCCAGACTCCACAACCGCACTGAATGTGTCATGCTTCGATCGATCGGTACTCGGCATTCATTCAGGTGAAAAATTAGCAAGTGTTCCTTGTGAAGTGATTAGTGGGTCGCTGTGCTAGCAACTGAAAAGAACAGCCTGGCCGTATGCAATAACCGGTCGATGAGCGCCGTATTGCTATTGCTACAATAGCTTTTACTGCCTCATGACCGGCTTCCAACAAACTTGTAAGGTTTATTATGCTGCTTTCACTGCTAAAATGAATCATATTGCCAGGAGTCTATTGTAAGAATGCAGTGTTGTTCGCTTTACCGTTTCGATCGCGTGTGTGTTAAGGCTGAAAATTCAACCTTCATGAGTATATGAAAACGAATACTTGACTTGACTTGACATGACAATGCTCTTAGATTTCAGTCTGTCCCGACGCACTGATGACACCTGTTTGACGGCACACCAATTTAGTCATGAATGCAACTATTGCCCACAAAGTTAGGAATTGTTAGTTGTACAAATTGATCAGGACGTTGATGGTGCTTCTCAGGTACAATGGTGAGTATACATTTATTCGTTTCTGTAATTCTATTACTAGGTATACTTCAGTGAGGTTATTGGTGTAAACCAAATTTTGCTAACAATATTTTTGTATTTTTCAGTTTCACCATAACCATCTTACGGGACGCGTTAAGCTTTAGGTTTTGTACCCGTGTAAACCCATGGTTCCATATATGCCAGTACACCAGTTTTCCGAGCGCCAGTAATCCCTTACCTATCGTTAGTTTTTCTAGACGATAATAACTGTTTCTAATAAGTAACAAACCTGTTTGTGCTTTGACGGTATAAATTGTTTTCAATACTTGGTACACGTTTTTGAATATCAGGCTGAATCGTTGAAAGCTTGTGCTGTGTTTGAATATCCAACCATTACGGGTGTATTAAGCGCTTTCTCAACTTGAACAAATGCATGGTGCGCAAATTTGCGGTGTCTTTATGCCAAATTTCATTTTAAAACTTCGTTTGTGCATTGAACGGGCAATCCAAATTTTACAGAGCGTCCTATCCGCCACATGGAAATAATGTTTTTTCGGCAGTGTGATTCCGGTACACACGGTTGTAGATGGATTCTCGTATGTCTTGGACAATTTACCATATATTCTCCCACTTCCGATACATACGGTGGACTTCCATAAACCATTTTTATATCCCGTTTCCTTTTTAACAACTTAGTGTTATATTTTAACTTTTGCACTTTTATTCAAGTTCGCAATTAGGCAAGGTACAGTCCAGTTTTTTCATTTTTGTAGGTACTGACCTCTTTACAAAAACGTTGCGTGAGTACCCAATAAAATACTTACATTTTGAGAACGCAGAAACAGGTTGTCCTGAGGAACAACAGCCCGCATTCAAAAACGCGCTAGTGGTGGATAGGACGGTCCCCAAATTTTACTGTTATTGGTAGTGTAACCAAACTTTTATTAAAACAACCTAATTTTCACCCTCGTATGACAAATCCGAATAAAACATATTATAATGATTGGCATGCGGGTCTAATGTGGATAAGGAGCCGAAACTAAAGTTAGTTTGTTTATATTGTATATTGATAGTTATGACCTTGAGTATTCAACATTTCAATAAATGGCTGTGTAACGCAAATGAAAGCACACTGGTTCGTTTAAGCCATACGTTATTTTTAGTGCCCGGTTTATACCTTTTTTACCTTGGTGTGAATCGTATTCATGACGAAGGAAAGGGTAAAACCATCACCGCGTCTACCTTTGCCAAAGCTACTTGTTTTATCTACGCTTGTACCGAAGAACACATGCACCTGTCGTGTCGCCGAACACACGTGTTTCCGCTCCGTTCGTTCGTTCTGGTATTCGCCTCATCGGTGCATCGTCGTCGAATATGCGTTTACAGTTCGGTTCTTGAGCTTTGCTTAATATTCGCTTACAGTCCGCAGTCTTTGTCGGTACCACGAACCTGCGCTACGGAACATATTGCAGCTGGAGCTAACTGGGATGCTTGAAAGGGTATGACGCGCGAAATTACGTTGCTGGCCGCCGAACTAGTGTACATCAACCTCAAACAGATGCAAAGATAAACAACAGTTAGGGCGAAATGTGTGCAAGGTATGAAAAAGGAATGCTTAATCAATACTAGGTTGTCTTTTTGGAGTGGCATAAGTTTCGGTGTTAATGAGTTGTTATGTAAGAGCACATAATGAGCGTCAATAAGAAATGTGTATGTTGTAATCAACGCATGTTTAGCGAGCGTTAATGGCAGACTCAATGGTTAGGACATTTGGAAGCAGTTTGCATGCAGTACAAGATGCAAAGAAGACATGTGTATGCAAGGAGAGTCCAAAATTTCGATAATCTGTCTATTTCTTGATACGTCTGGTGATATATTATTCGGTAAATGAATGAGTTTAGTTAAGGCCTTTTATTAGGGGAACGCGCTTTTAAACTTATTTAGGTAGAAAAATAAACGTTAGACTGTAAATATGTATACAAGTCTGCAAAGGCTTTTGTATTGGTTATCGTCGGACTTGTAGTGACAATGACATTTAAATAAATAAATAAATAGTTTATTCTCGAATTTGTCGAGACACACCAAGTGAAGCATGATCAATATTTACATGCAATATTGCTTCGCAACAAACACGTTGCTATGAGTGTAGTCGGCAGTAAGCCGAAGGTTGTACAGGCTGCGGAAATTGTGTAAGTAGTCATGAGGGATAGAGTCATCAATGACTGACGAAACGTTGAATTCTAGAGTGTGTAATGTAAACAGTCAGAGCACTACATGTGTAATGAAAACGATACATATGGGCATGGTGTATATTAGTATTGAAAGTGTCAGGGCAATATTGAATTATGATTCTGGTCGACTTGCCAGTAGGTAGTTCTGGGCAGTGACTTTATTCAGTGGCGAGTCACATCCGCCACGTTGCAGTGTTGTTATGCGGACATTTGTGGCTTTTTATAGGGAGAACGCTTGCCAGGCGAAAACCCACCACGTCCTGGAACACTGACAGAAGTTTGTTGGTGCACTAATATATAACTGGTAGACCAGGTTTCCGACTGATTTCACCCTCAGATATCCGCAGTCAAATGACCTTCAATTTTCTGTCTTGACGGGCGGCATCTTTACGAGGCTGTTCTCGGCTTTCGTTCGCCCTCATCTGGAATACTGCGTCCAGGCTTGTCCGCCCTGCTTCGTCCGGGACAAAGTGGAGCTGGGGAGGGTTTTACGAGTGGGTACTAGGTTAGTCGAGGGAGTATTGGACGGACGTACCCCGAGCGTCTACTTAGTTTGGGAATGCATTCCATGCACTACCGAAGGCTTAGAGGAGACCTAATCCTAACCTACCATATCTTGACTGGGAAGATTGGTCCAGATTTGTCTTGGCTATTCAGTCCCGCTAGATTGTCTGTTCTACGCGGTCATTCGTTGAAGCTGGACAAACCGCGGTCCGACCGGATTAGGGCGGAAATCCGGCTGTCACGCCGAGTTATCGAACGCTGGAACATGCTTCCGGGAAGTGTTATCAGGGAATCTACGGTTAAGGGGTTTGAGCGGCAACTTGATGCTCTTGGGTGGCAACACGAAACATTTCCACTTTCCTGAGTAACTCGTATCTTCGTACTTCGATTTTTTTTCTCTACTTTTCATTAAGTATTGGTATTATTTTCTTATTTAAGTGCACTTCCCTATTCTGTACCTTCGATTTCTCTTCCTATCCTTTGCTTACTTCACGTGACTGCCACAGCAGGGACTGCTAGGGCATGAAACGTAAGCATTAACTGGTTGGCCAGGGTGCGATACTGGTGTTTCCGTTTTAGATCCATCAATAACTGAGCACTTCATCAATTCCTGGCTCAGCGATCCACTCAAGATGGAACACTCATGGGATTCTCCTATCGTTCCAGTCCCCATCTGAACTGAACTAGGCAGGTATCTTGGGCAAGGCCGCCATAATGGCTGAGGCGAATCGAAGATTGGGGCTTCAAGAAGAATCCTCTTTGTGGGTATCCAGGTGGGCGAAACGTCAATTACTTGCGTCTGGATTTTTCAGGAGTGTGAAATTATCCAGTCCAGTTATCATAATTGGACAACGGTCATGGTAATGAGTGCAGTTGGGCCCGTTTGTTGTACTGCCATGTGCTCCATAGGTCCATATTGGTTGTTTTTTCCCAGACAAAAGCGGTTTCTCGGTCCAATCCCAGATCCCCAAGAAGTTTCGAACCTCGGAGAAAAGGGAAGGTGAGAGACAACCAAGGCCGCAACGTACAGGCGTGGAAACAAGCATTCTTAAACCCCTATGTTATAACATTTAGAGTGAAGACAAATGATGTACAATGTGCAGCATGGATTGTGCTGAAAGTGTCTTTTGAATGTTTTTCGAAAGCAGTGGCCCT